GTTCATGGCATTGGGTGATGGAAAATATAAAATAAAGTTAAAACTATTGTGAGACTTGAAAAAAAAAAAAAGAAAAGCAGATAACAGACTTTCTATTCTGCTGTTGGAAGAAAAGCTAGTAGCTCCTAGATTAGAAAATCTTATCCTGGAGTCATTTGAGCTCAGTGACAATGGTAAGTGAGAGGGGAAACTAATCAGCTCTTCAGTGGGGCTCAAAGGGACCGACCAGCCGCTTCTGAAGAGCCCTGTTGCATTTGATGATCTGTGTTAGCACTTAAACCCCGTAACTTGAAGGGCAAAAAAGATTGGCTCCCCCTTCTTTGAGTGTCGTCTTATCAGTTTGACAATTCCTTTGTTTTACTGCTTTCTTTTAGTTGGCACACCACCACCCCCGCCTTATGCCACAGACGCCCCAGGGACCCAGAATGACCGGCCTGTAGATGCCACAGCTGGGGGTCATTTAGTGCTGTCAGTGCCTAATGGAGGTAAACCTGCTGATAAACAGCTGCTTGCAGTTCGTTTCCAAGAACATTTCCTCTCATCCTAAACTCGGTGGGCCCGCCTGCTGCCCTTTCACGCCCTGTCAGGGCAGGACGGCATGGCTTTGCGTTTTCACTCGACACTCTCCAGAACCGTAGGAATGAATATTCTCTCTATCACCAAGTTAGTAGAACAAATTAAGTGTTATTTTAATCTAGCTTTTAAAGATTTGAATTTATTGGTCTTTAGTGTGAAATGGATACTTCTGAATATTGGCAGTTTTGCCCCATTTGCGGTTTTTGTTGTTTTTTTTTCTTAGAGGTTTAGAGAGGCTTCTTCTGTTTGGCCAGAGGAATTCTCTTAAAATAGGAGCAAGCTGGGTTTTTTAGAAAAACTTACTTGTGTATTAGAACAGCTTGTTGTTGCTTCGTGCTATGTGAGTGAGTCCTCTTCACTTTGACCTTAGATGGTAGGGAGGAGGCACCCCTCACCCTAACCATAACCCTAACCCCAACCCTTAAATGGCAGGGTAGATTCCCCTAACCCTAACCCTAACCTTAACCCTAACCCTTAGAGGGCAGGGTGGAGGCTCCGCATAGAGTTGCCAACATGAGATTTTCACAGGAGCTGGTCTTTGTCTCCCATGGTCTCTGGTGGGTTTAAATCACCGACCTTTCTGCTAGCGACTGAGCCTTCCCCTGTGCCACCAGAGCCCCTTCTGATAGCTTTGACGAGTGTGATTCAGCATTAATGTTCCAATAAATCATGTGGCGATCCTTAATAAATGCAGATTTTATTAGGTCTGGGCTAGCGGCCAACAGTCTGTGTTCCTAAGAAGCCCCTGGGAGAGACGCAGCCCTATGAACCACACTGAGTAGAGCGCATGTGAGCGAGTATCTGAGGGTGAATTTTCCTAGACAATCCTTTAGTAAATCACATATAAACTCCAGTTTAGTAGTTCTGTCAATTTGTATTTGTAGTTTGTAGTTCTTGTTAATATGCCCCCCCCACTCTGATTGATGTATCTTGACTGAATTATTACTGTTTTCAAGGGAAATGGACACATCATAAAGAGAAAGATAGAGGATAGGTATAGGAAACGAAGAGAGAATTCTGAAGTTTAGTGGATTTCTGGAAATTTTGAGGTGAAACTATACCATCTGCGAGTTCCTAGGTTTCCTGGGATGAGCCCAGGTCTGACCGGCTCCGTGTGTCACCCGGTTCTTCTCTTGCAGACTTCCGGCCCGTGTGCTACGAGGAACCGCAGCACTGGTGCTCCATCGCCTACTACGAACTGAACAACCGCGTCGGGGAGACGTTCCAGGCCTCCTCCCGAAGCGTGCTGATAGACGGGTTCACAGACCCTTCCAATAACCGCAACAGGTTCTGTCTTGGACTTCTTTCCAATGTAAACCGAAACTCAACGATAGAGAATACCAGGAGGCACATAGGAAAGGGTAAAAGCAAATTTATAATTCCTTTCTGTATCTGAGTTAACACATGGACATAGACGCAGACCAGGTCTGTGCGGTCTGTAAGAAGAAGGGGTCGCATTCCTGGTGGGTAAAGCACATAGGCTTAATCAGTCTGTCTCTCTGCATCCCATCATCTGGATGGTGGCATGGAGAAGCAGTGTGAAGACAAGCTTGATGATGTTACATATGAAAGCAGATGGATTCACTGAATAGAAGTACTAGGCTTTATTTTGTACTTAAATATGCTAAGATGCTTTCTGAAGAATTGTTTGACTGGATGATTATATCTTAGGTTACCTGATCAGATCAGGAAAAGCAGAGCCCAGATGATTACAGCTCTCTCTTGCAGTCGGTCTAGAAGAGTGACAGTTTATTGTTGGGGCCGTTGATAAATGACTGAGGTTTGCCTGAGTGACTGTTGGGACAGCGGATTGGGCACAGGCCTCGCCAGAGTCTGGCTAATGATACTCTGCAAACCCATCTCGTCTGTGTGATCACTTGTAGCAAATCCAGGTTACTGGTTTGTTGTTGTTAGGTGCCGCTGAGTAGGCGACAGTTCCTGACGATCCTATGAACACGAGATCTGAGTGAGCCTTGCCCTGTCTTGTGCCACCCTCACAGCCTCCCACAAGTTCAAGCCCATTGTTACGGTCACTGTGTCAGTTCATCTCATTGAGGGTCATCTTCTCCTTTGCTGACCCTCCACTTCTCCAAGCAGTGATGTACTTCAGCACAAACTGACCCTTCCCGATAACATGCCCAAAGTACTGGTTTGTTATGTTGTTGTTGTTATGTGCCGTCGAGTCGCTTGAGACTCATAGTGACCCTATGTACAACAGCCCTAAACCCTGCTCTATCCTGTGCCAGTCACATTGCCTCTGACACACCCATCCCAATTACCCCATTCACTGAATCAATCCACCTCATAGAGGGCCTTCCCCTTCTGCACCGTCCCTCCACCCTCCCAAGCATGATGTCCCTCTCCAAGGACCTCTCCCTCCTTACAACATGTCCAAAGTATGTCAGACAAAGCCCCAGAATCCTTGCCTCCAAGGACCAGCCTGGTTTAATCCTCTCTACGATGAATCTCTTTGTTTTCTTGGCAGTCCATGGTACATTCAATACTCTTCTCCAGCACCACAGCTCAAAGGCATCAATTCTCCTTCTATTCTCCTTAGTCATTGTCCAACTGTCTGATGCATAACAAGTGATTGCAAAGACCATAGCCTGTATCAGATGCACCTTAGTCTCTAGAGTGACACCATTGCTCTTCAGTATCCCAGAGAGGTTCCTAACAGCAGACTTTCCCATCGCAGTACCTTTTTTTATTTCCTGGATACTGGTGCCAAGAGTGTTGACTGTTGAGCCAAGCAGACTAAAGTTGTTAACAATCTCAATCTCTTCACCATCCATCCTGATGCTGCCAATTGGTCCAGTGGTGAGAATCTTTGTCTTCTTGACATTGAGCTTCAATCCATACTGAAGGCTGCAGTCCTTGACCCTCTGCAGCAAGCATTTCAGGTCCTCCTCAGTTTCAGCAAGCAGGGTTGTGTCATCTACATAATGCAGATTGTTGATAAATCGTCCACCAATCTTGACCTCACACTTCTCCTCATAGAGCCCAGCCTCCCGTATAATCTGCTCTGCATACAGGTTGAAACAGTATGGAGATAGTACTGGTTTAGGATCTTTAAATTATCTTCCACCTCCCCCTTAAAATAGCTAGTAATATCTAAGTAATAGCTGGTTGCCTGTTTTGGCTTCATAAGGATTTTGGGATTATATCAGATCACTCTGGATTCATGGGTATAAAGAACCTTCCAAGTAATTTGATCTTTTCCCCTAACCAGCACTTAGCCCAGTTCAAGAAGGAATCTGTGAGTCTTTTATTTAAAATTCCCAGCACAGATTTTAATTCTCTCTTAGGAATGCATTCCGGTATCCTTCCCAACATAGCTGACAAAGTGTCCTGTAAAATGTACATGCCCTTGATTAGACACAGGTTGAATTCATTTAATGATTAGCATTGTGATTGTAATTGTAATTAAAATGCTGCTTTTTTAATAATCTTTTTTGACATCCAGGACAGGAGAAACTCAATCCGTTATGTAATTTTTACCCCAAAGAAAGAGACCTAGTAGTGTCTCAAAGGACAGAGTACTTGAAGTTCATTCAAACCGGTC